CCCTGGCATACGCTCACGGCAACCCAGGGTGCCTCAGCATCCAGTTTGAGAACCGCTGCGTTAACGCATCCTTAGCCCGACCCGGTGACGTCAGCAGCACGGCCCGTTCAGGAGACGATGTTGAATCGGCAATACTAAAAAAAACCACAAGAACTCCAGGTAAAATGAAGTGTCGCCAAACATGCACTATACAGGTAGATAAAGAAAAATAGTTAATAAACACAGAAAAGCTGATGTTATCAGTCGCCACACGCTTAGGAGATACACTGAAAATGTCATCTGATCGTTTATGGACTTATCTGATGTGTAATAAGGATAATATGTCAATCAACTAACTAACAACTCACATCAAGTCATTTCTATACTAATCAGCGTTAGTTGCGAAATATGCAAGACAGAACTAGACACTGAACATCGGAATAACTTACAAAGAGAAAACGAAAATAAAGAACATTATATTACAATTAAGATACGAATGGAAAACTTCGTAATAATCGCCTGGAACCAGAGAGATAAAGTTAACAGAGTAACAACTAGGGCACATAGAGTCGCCCCACCCTCTATGGTAAAACCATAGGTAAACTAATAACAGTCTGGAACTGAAAAAGTTTCAGTTACATAAATGTAACAAGCATAAACAAGTGAGAAAAATAATCACAGAGCAAGGGATTCAAGAGAACACAACTGATGAGGAAGTTAGCTGGAACAGACTGGGGGGCAATCCTCAATGTCCTTAAGAAGACCTATACAGGCTATGTGAGGCCAACACTAGAATATGGAATAGCTGCTTGGGGCACAGCAGCTAAATCAAATTTTCAAAAAATCTCAAAGATCCAAAACCATGCTCTCCGCATTATGACAGGGGCAATGCGCTCCACGCCCATATCAGATATGGAAACAATTACTGGTCTCCATAATCTGGAAGATAGGAGAGACACAAAGATCCTCACCCAGCTCTCCAAATACCACCACTTTCAAGAACAACCCATGTACAGTCGACTGCAGAAACCCCAGAAGGCTAGACTAAAGAGAACTTGCTTTATTAAGAACGCAAATGCCAAGCTCGCTGTCCTTAAACTCCCTCCCATAATACCAAATGTTCCACTTAAACCTTACAACGACTGCCCCGCTTGGCTTAGGGATAGCCTACCAACAGTCAGAACCACTGTAACAGGGGTCTCCTCCAAATCATCAATGAGCAGCACTGATATGAAATCAACTACAGAAGGAGAGATCAATTGACTTTACCCACACCAGAGTTGGATTCGAGTGTATACAGATGGTTCAGCCAAGAGAGCAGTGAGAGACGGAGGAGGAGGAATATACATAGAATGCCCAAATGGTTTAAAAATCAACCAGGCTGTACCAACAGGTTCATATTCCTCCAATTACAGAGCAGAGGCAGAAGCACTTCTAGCGGCATGTTCTTTCCTGAATGGACAACAGCACAGCAAATATAGCAGAGTAGTCTTTCTGACTGATGCTATGTCAGTTCTACAAGCAATTGTTAACCCAAAAGACACTCAGTTTGTAGACTTGACGCAACAGCTGATTTACTTAGGCTCTTCAGTAGAACAATCTGTACTGCAGTGGATTCCATTTCACTGTGGCTTGGAAGGCAATGAAATAGCGGACAGATTAGCCAGAAGCGGCAGTGACATGGTACAACCAAATAGCGACTTAACCCACCAAGAGATGAAAACACTAATACAATCTAGTATCCAAGAAAGGTGGCTGGATACCCACACCAGATTTTCTCTCCAAGACTCACTTCATCGCATCTCTAGAGAGGGACAGTCTATTATATTCAGACTAAGGACAGGGCACAACAGATTTCGTCAACATATGTTCAAATTTTTCGGTGTAGGAAATACGGAGACGTGTCCCTGCAGCGTGGCACCCGAAAATGCTGAGCATGTGCTCCAACACTGTCAACTGAATGCTGACAACAGAGACGCAATCTGGCCTGTTCCAAGCACAATGAAGACAAAACTGTATGGTACACGAGAGGATATGGATTGCACGATAGCTTTCATAAAGGCTACCGGCCTCCTGATATAAGTTTTCTGACAGAAGGATCGAAGAAGAAGAAGAAGAAGAAGAAGAAGACTGTGTGGAATTGAAGAAGATAAAGTTAAATTAAAGTAAGAAATAGACACATGCTGGACTCAACAAAACACACAGAGACTTGATCACATAGAGCAAAAACGGGCAACACGCCATAATATAAATGACAAAAATACGGTACCTGTTTGGCGTCCAGTTTCTTGCTATTTGCACGTAATTATCCAACACACGTTTACTGAACATCACATATTTTTGTGTATGATTCACTCGCGTAAAGATAATTTAATTACAGTTGTCTAAAGTGTTTTTCACGTGTACGCACTAACACAGATATGTTGTGAGCACTCTTAACTCAACGGAATAATGGTTTTCAAATGTACATAATCCTCTAAATAGAAGGAAAGTTTCCCATTGCACATTATCTGCTTAAAAAAAAAAAGGGGGGGGGGGGGGGGGGAGAGGAACACTCAATCCGTGTATGTTTAGTTCGTTAAAATAAATGAGTTATCCAGTAGGCAGTTTAATCTAAATAAAATTTACAGTGCTTTACATTTTTTTATTCACCCCCAAACAGTCCAATATTTCAGGGGGTGGTAGATAGGCTGCATGCAGTCGTGGGACCTAGGCTGTACTTTCTCGTGGGATGTAGGTGTTTGGAGTTAGGTCCAGTTCTAAATGTTTTTGGGTTGTTAAAAAGCACCACAAAGGGGGAAACCCCGGTTCTGCCAGGCTATACAATATTGGTCTGTCGCCGTGACGTCATCTGAAGTGACTTATGAAAGAATCAATTGAACATTTTGCCATCTATAGTTGTATGTGCGTTTGAAATCCCAGGGTGAGTTCTAAAGGAGCAAAAGGATCAAACCCACTGTCTTTCTAACAAAATTATCGTAAAGGGGGACTATAGTACTTTCAAAAAGTCGGGCCCTCCAGATTTAACAAATATCTCGAAACACGCATGTACTGAACAACACGAATTGTTGCTCGTGGCCTTACATTTCCCCTGCCTTTATGATTATGAATAGATGTTAAATTTTAATAAGGATAAAAGTAAGTCTAGTCATTCTAGATGCACTTAGTGAGACAGACATTTGTCTGATGAAGATGGTCTAGAATGGAATCCGTGCGACTTAGCTAGAAACCATGTCATTCGTTGAAATATTGCATAAAAGTAAACGTATCCAGAAACCATGAGTTGTAAACCCTTTTGGCTCGGTACTATGGATATCGCAACCCTTCGGCCTTGATTCCATTGTAAATACCGTAAATCTGGGAGAAAATGTGGCTTTTCTGCCTACCCTTGGGAGTGAACCCGGACCACAAGGAGTTCGTTCAGTTATAGAAGTTGTATTATTAGGAAATGAATAGGCCGGAGAGTATGGTGACTAGTTAGATGGGAGGCAGAAATATAAATACCATTAGATTGCTTGGCAGTAAAGCTCAAGTCTCATCTGTCATTTTTGCTAATACGAATTGTTATTCGTTATATTGTTTCTGTGTAGTTTTACGGCCAAATTTTGAAAAAAAAATGATATTAGTAGTAAAAGCAGCAACAACAGCAAAAGTAGCAGCAATAGTAGCAGTAGCAGCAGTAGTAGTAGCATTAGCAGTAGTAGTAGTAGTAGCAGCAGTAGTAAAAGTAACAGTAGTAGCAGTAGTAGTAGCAATAGTAGCAGCAGCAGTAGTATTAGTAGCAGTAGCAGTAGTATTAGCATTAGTATTAGTATTAGTAGTAGAAGAAGTAACACTAATAATAGTAGCAGTAGCAGTAGCAGCAGCAGTAGTCGTCACAGTAGCAGCAGCAGTATCAGTCTTAGAGGTAGTAGCAGTAGTAGTAGGATCAGCAGCAGCATCAGCAGTAGTAGTATTAATACTAGACGCAGTAGTAGTAGTAGTAGTAGTAGTAGTAGTAGTAGTAGTAGTAGTAGTAGTAGTAGTAGTAGTAGTAGTAGTAGTAGTAGTAGTAGTAGTAGTCACAGTAGCACTAGCAGCATCAACAGCAGTAGCAGTAGCAGAAGGAGCAGCTGCAACAGTCGCTGTAGCAGTAGCAGCAGCAGTAGTAGCAGTAGCAGATGTAGCAGCATCAGTTGAAGAAGAAGAAGAAGAAGAAGAAGAAGAAGAAGAAGAAGAAGAAGAAGAAGAAGAAGAAGAAGAAGAAGAAGAAGAAGAAAAGAAGAAGAAGAAGAAGAAGAAGAAGAAGAAGAAGAAGAAGAAGAAGAAGAAGAAGAAGAAGAAGAAGAAGAAAAAAAGATCTATATGAGAATAACGGTAATAGTAGTAGTAGGATCAGCAGCAGCATCAGCAGTAGTAGTATTAATACCAGACGTAGTAGTAGTAGTAGTAGTAGTAGTAGTAGTAGTAGTAGTAGTAGTAGTAGTAGTAGTAGTAGTAGTAGTAGTAGTAGTAGTAGTCACAGTAGCACTAGCAGCATCAACAGCAGTAGCAGTAGTAGAAGGAGCAGCTGCAACAGTCGCTATAGCAGTAGCAGCAGCAGTAGTAGCAGTAGCAGATGTAGGAGTCGCAGCAGCAGCAGTAGTCGTAGCAATAGCAGCTGTAGCAGCAGCAGCAGCAGTTGAAGAAGAAGAAGAAGAAGAAGAAGAAAAAGAAGAAGAAGAAGGAGAAGAAGAAGAAGAAGAAGAAGAAGAAGAAGAAGAAGAAGAAGAAGAAGAAGAAGAAGAAGAAGAAGAAGAAGAAGAAGAAGAAGAAGAAGAAGAAGAAGAAGAAGAAGAAGAAGAAGAAGAAGAAGAAGAAGAAGAAGAAGAAGAAGAAGAAGAAGAAGAAGAAGAAGAAAAGAAGAAGAAAAAAAGATCTATATGAGAATAACGGTAATCTGATGTAAGTTACATCTACATTGCACTTTCGAACATTATGTATACCAAATAACCATTCTGTTCTAGGTACAAAAGATACATTTAAACCGGCTAGTATTTTACCATACACGGCATCAGCTATAAGCAATAACAAATTTTCCCATTGTACACGCTTATCTGTAACGGTAAAACACAGCTGGTCTTTGTACACTCAGGTCATCTAAATGAAATAACATATTTCCTCCGTATTCAACATAAATAGGCCACACAGACTAACACAGCTGACAACAGACTAGCAGAGAGAAGCACGGCTGTGTGGTGAACATTTCATGCCTACGGGGTAGCCAGCTGACAGCGAGATTACGTGTGTCACTACGGGTATTTAATACATCTCGGTCACTGAGCTTGACGAGGCTTGTTGGCTTGCCGGTCGGTGTAAGCGTGGGAGCAGTCAGGCAGACAGATTACATACATGATTCAATCGTGAGGAGAAAAGTGACGACTGATTTGTGTGGCTGATGGAATGGAGTTGCCGAGCTGAAGATCTCGGACCCAAAGGCTGTACCTGACGAATATAGTGTTCATTTTTTTCTTAGCGTTTGCTATAAGAATAAACAGGGTTTCCGAAAATTGTAGCTGTTTGATTCTCATTTCTGGTATGTTAATCTTACAGTCGGCAACTCAGGAGAGCTGGGTTGTTTTTGCGCCTACTTCTGTACTTTGATCTTGTACCAGATCATGTTTGAAGTGCACATCCATTTTAACTTACTTAGCCTATATGTATGCAGACTGTTGGTTCATTGCCCCTCAGGCAGATGCTTTCCAACTTCAAAAGTGACACCCAGATTTAGCCGCCTTCTACGACATGATAGGGGGCAGTAGGTTTTTTTTATTCCCCCAAAATGGGACCCCGGATCAGGAACCCAAACGTGTATTTGTGTTGCTGATTTAGCAATTTGTTTATCAGGGAGTGGTTGGTTGGGCAATGGGGAGCAGGGCTTTTGATCTATCTATCTATCTATCTATCTATCTATCTATCTATCTATCTATCTATCTATCTATCTATCTATCTATCTATCTATCTATCTATCTATCTATCTATCTATCTATCTATCTATCTATCTATCTATCTATCTATCTATCTATCTATCTATCTATCTATCTATCTATCTATCTATCTATCTATCTATCTATCTATCTATCTATCTATCTATCTATCTATCTATCTATCTATCTATCTATCTATCTATCTATCTATCTATCTATCTATCTATCTATCTATCTATCAAGGTCTACTACTACTTTTCACGTATATTAACGACCTTTCATTACATCTTAGTATAACATGCGATTTATTTGCTGATGACTGTACAATATACACTAGTAATGAGAATCGTAATTAGTTAAAAAGATCTTTACAGAAAGAAGTACACAATCTTTGTAAATGTAGCAACAGCAATCGCATGCAAATTAACATAAATAAAACGAAGTCTATGCTTATAACAACCAGACAAAAGTTGCAAACATTAGTACTGCA